CCGCCAAGAAAGCGATAACCTTTCCTTGTGCACCCCCGTACAGATCATGGCACGCAAGACCACTCCTTCCAGGGGCGGCAGGTACTTGGTTTCTTCGTTGTACATCCACAATTAGGTGAACATCCCCATCAGTCGCTTGCTAACACCGTGCAGATCCCTCGTCGTAAGGCACGTCATGAGAACCGGCACCTCCTTCTGATTCAGGGTGAAAAGCCACGAACCGAAGCCTATCCCATGATGGATATACATGTCGTACAACCACTGTCACTGCTCCAATGAATTGGATTCCAGGCAAAAACCTTGCTAAACAAAAAACTTGCGAAATCAGTCATATCCATACCATTAACCAAAATTTTTAACCAGTCTGTACTAACTGGGGCTTACCCTGCAAAACTTAAATATGCAAAAGTAATTCCAGTGTATAAGGGTGAAGACGACACGTTATCTGAAAACTATCGGCCAATTTCTTTGTTATCAATTTATAATCGTTTATTTAAGAAAATTTTGTATCGTAGACTGATAAAGTTTATAGACAAGAATGATATTCTTTATGATTTACAATATGGCTTTCGCAATAAACATAGTACCCAGCACGCGATTGTTGATATTGTGAACACCATACATTCTAATATGGACAATAGAAAGTACTCGTGGAATTTTTATAGATCTTAAGAAAGCATTTGATACTGTTAACCATGAGATTCTTTTGACAAAACTTGAACACTATGGAATAAGAGGAGTTATAAATTCTTGGTTTAGATCATATCTTTCAGATCGCCGACAGTCTATTGAAATAGACAAATGCATATCTGAAACTGAAACGATTGTATGTGGAGTGCCTCAAGGCTCTCTACTTGGACCCTTGTTATTTCTGTTATATATTAATGACATCCATAAATCTTCTAAGGAATTTACTTTTTATCTATTCGCAGATGATACTAGTCTAACTTATGCAAATGACAACTTACGTACTCTTGAACTAACTGTCAATAATGAACTTGAGAAAGTAAGTGAATGGCTTAATGCTAACAAACTAACGCTCAACGTCAAAAAGTCTAATTATGTCATTTTTCGTCCGCGCCAAAAAAGAATGCCTTTCATTCCTCAAATTAAGATTTTTAATCCAACTTTAAATACTCGAGTAACTCTAGAGATGAAGGACTTTGTTAAATATTTGGGTATAATGATTGATTCTGAACTATCATGGAAGCATCATATTGACTTTATCTGTCACAAAATTAGTAGACCGGTTGGAATAATTGCTAAAATGAGGCATTACATTCCACGGCGTCTTCTTTTGAATTTATATCATGCACTTATTTCTCCTTATTTAAATTATGGTATCTGTGCATGGGTCAACTGTCCACAGACCTACCACCTCAATAAGATACTTGTTCTGCAAAGACGTGCTCTGCGTTTGATTTATTTTTCTAAACCCAGAGACCATGCAATCCCTTTTTTTATTGAATCGAACTGCCTTTCTTTGCAGTCTTTGTTCTTTCAACAGTTAAGCTTTTTAATGTATGACGTTCATGCTAAGACAGCGCCTAGAAGTCTTCTGGATAAGTTTGCGAAAATCAATACAAAACATTATAATACGCGATTATCTGCAAAAGAATGCTTCTCTGTCAAATTCTCTAGAACTGAAAAAATGTTTTACTAGAATTGGTGTGTCTATTTGGAATTCTATTCCACTTTCTGTTAAGACTCTGAACGTTTCTAATTTTCGTAAAAAAAATACCACCGTTTTCCTTGATACGCGACTTTCCAAATCAAAACACCCGCTGAAACGTTTCCAAAATTTCCGTCAATCATACTCGTCATACCCATATATGGAAGTGTAGGACTGGGCCTGAAAATTTAAAATATGGCGGCCGGTCAAAGTTACATGTAAACATGGTGGCAAGTTATTCGTTAAATTTGCGTTGGCGAGTAGTGTATTTACTCATTCAGGGATTTACCGTCGAACGTGTTGCTAGACTACTTCACGTAGGGAAGACGTTTGTAAAAAAGATTCGAAATCTTTACCAGAACACAAAAACAGTTCATTATCAATCACGGCCGGGTAGAGTGAGACAGTTGGAAGGTAAGTAAGCTTACGATTTGAACTGAGGTTTTTGTAATCACTTCTCTAAATGGGCCTCATTGTATCAAACAAATACATAACCATTGTTTTTCTCACCTGGACTTAGCACAGGACGTGTTATTCATAAGAAGGGTAATCCAGCAATATCCAGAGATTTACGAGGATGAAATACAGGAATGGATACAGTTCGCACTGGGAAAGACAATTCACGTGTCCACGATCGCTAAGCTATTGAAGAAAATGGGCTTTACACGAAGAAAGGTACATATTGCATGTCTTATATTTGAAAAAGAAGAAAAACAGTTTATCACGTCATTGAAGCACGGCAGACTATGAAGCACGTACAATAACAGGGAGGCTCTTTAGTACATCATCTGTACCAGGATTTCCCCCTCCCAGAGGAAAATTTTTCATTTAGTTTTGGAAAGTTCCAACATAAAATATCCTCGGTCGAACAGATCACTTACCTTTCCGATCCTTCTTCTCTGGAGCCAAGGGCTGAAGTGCTCCGCTTTTTCATTGAAAATCCTCCAGACAATAGTTGAAATCGCACAGTTATAAAATATTGAAAGGGAAGGGGCGGGGAGTTATCAGCACCTCACAAGAAATAATTTTCGATGTCCCGAATATTGATGACAGAGAAAACGTTACCTCTTCATGTATTTTATCGCAGTATTGTTGTCATACAAGGAAAAAGTGAAAAAGGGCAAATAGTTATTAAATGTGCATTGTCAATTCATAAAATTTAGGATATGGCCATTTGTCGTAGAACTTCCGCATCTTACTTTTTAGCTGAAAACAACATTTCCAGTTAACCTTTTGGATCTGTTGTTGACTTATTTGACAAAATGCCTCATCCGTGAGCAACCCTTTTCTAACAAAATTATGCCCAGTAATGGCAATAGTCCAACTATCATCTGGCAACAAATGCACAAGAGAGCTACATGATTGTAAGGTTGGAACTGGAATTGATAGTCATTACTGTACCTGTTGCCCTAACTGGTGACATTTTTCTTTTTTTTTCTTTCAATTAGCTGAACACAATTGCAAAAGAACGTGATGAGAGAAGTAGGGCGATGTACCGTCGTAGGATTGCTCAATTTTCCCGAGAGCAGTTACTATTTATAGATGAATCAGCAAAAGATGAAAGAACTTTTCAGGTGTGATGTAAAGAATTTGCTATTGCATTACATATGAACCATCCCCTCCCACTCCTTTATGCGGGTAAAAGGGTGTGAACATTATTTTATTGCAGCATCAGTACTATTCACCGATCAATGTTAAACCTGGACGGGGGGGGGGGTGTTTGACATTTTACAAGAAAATATTGCAGTATGATTTCCCAAATTGATCCATGGTTGGTCCTACCCAACACCCCCCCACCCTCCCCACTGCACCCGATCTCGCAGTTAAAAAGCCTAAAAATTAATAGGCTCCCGGCAGGGCTTAGCAAAGGTTCTTTGGTAGTTGACTCAGGTTGCCATAAATTCTTTGGCCACCTAAACAATCAGTTGAATTCCCCATTACCCAACCAACCCAATACCAAGTCAACAACAAACACAACACTTTAGTAGTTCTTTTTAGATAAACTACACGTGGATGAACATTGGGAATAAAAAACTGAACTTTAAAAGAACAAAGTTTGTCTGCAACTCTTGATTTGTTGTTGTTTTCAATTATAGAGAAGATATACACGCGAATTACAGGGAACTGGAAGGCTATCAGTAAAGGGAAACTTTACACGTGGTACACGTTACAGTGTTCTCAGTGCCATCAGCACTCAGGGAGTCATAGCTTCACATGTTATCACTGGGGCATACAATCGAGGGCAATTTGAATTTTCAATGCTTAACTTTGTACAACCTCATATTGGTTCAGTTGCAAGAGGGGAGCCACGTTCAGTTGTTGTCATGGACAACTGTAACATACATTATTCTGATGTGGTTATAGAAGCAATACGACTCAGAGGAGCAATGGTGATATTTTTGCCGTAAGTGATTATTTTCTTCATGGGCCACTCTGTCAACTCAAGATAAAAAAACTACAATATTGTTTATTGACACAAACATGTTTGGTGCCAATTGTTCATTTTCATCAATGTGGTATATTTCTTCATTTAGTTCTTTATTTTTATGTGGTAATTGTACTTGAATCCTCAAGAGGAAGACTGTTCTTTTCTAGACTGTGACCTTAAAAATTATATACTTAATATTCACATACATGAAAATCACTAAAACCCAAACCACTAGTACCTGATTTTTGATTGAGCCACAAGATGATTTCTGAACAAGGGAAGGTTTAAGTGACCATTGAAATGTTTCTGTTGTACAATCATGTTATTAAATGGAAATAAAAAATATGGGAAGTGTACATCTAAATCTTTATTACTTTTATTTCAAGGCCTTACTCTCCAGACCTGAATCCTATTGAAGATTCCTTTCAGTTTGCCAAGGACTGGTTAAGAAGGCACCCAGAAGTGTGCATTAAGTACCCCAAAAGATGTTTTGAAATTGCTCTTGAGCAGGTACAAGATAACACCGACAGCTTAACTAACTGTAATTAATTGCCTTGGTGTCACTTTACTTAAATCCAGAGCAGAAAGTTTCAGAGAGTGATGCCACCCCTTAACCTTATACCTTATCTTTCATACAGATTTCACAATCTTGCTCTGTTGGCTTCTTTCAAGACTGTGGATATTATTAAATAAGCCAACTGGTAAGCTTGTAGTTATTTTTTACTAAATGTATATCTCTTCCACAGAAACCATATTTACTTTCAACTTTACCATTGACAGTAACAAGGCTTCACTTTAAACATGAACAGATATTGAACCTCAATAATATTGAAACATCTTCTGTAAAAACTGCTTTTTAACAGTTTCTACAATCAACATAACAAATAGAACACTGACTATTTAAGGATGTCTTCCTGACATCTTTTCTTTTACTGCCTTAATGAGAGCCTCTTTATCACATCTGTTTACAATTCCCATTCCTTCTAATATGGAGTTGCTTATATGGGGATTACATAGGGATACCAGCAAAGGGCCATCCATTTCAGCTTGTACAAACTGTGGAATTAGCTTTTCAAGTTTGTGTTCTTCCAAAAAGTTGCAGCACTTTGCCAGTGTGTATTGAGTAATCGGTGACTTTCTCTCTTCACAGGGTTGTGCTGGCATTTGCATCCAAGGACTCATCTACAAAATACCAAAAAGAGAATAAAAACTGAATTTAGTATGAGCTCAAGTTGTATATTATCAGTCTTTTCCTAGTAAAATTTCTCTCAAAAATGGCTCCTGTTTTTAGATACATTCCTGCCTAATCTTATTCTAACTTTTTATAAACAACTAACCAAGATCCCAGCGAACTTACTTGCCAGGTACAACTTTATTATTGGATTAGCTGGAAAAATTATTGGTTATAAGAGAAACCCTTGACCTTCACACATGTACAACTGTAAGCAGGAAGATTAAAATGTGTAGTTTCAGAAAAAATCCATATATTCAACCCATGGACTGATGATAGTGGGATATTACTAGGGGAGGGAGGGGGTCATAAAACCTAAAATTATTATTTTTTTAATGCAGTGTATTTAACTAAAACTGGAATGTCTTGGGGGAGGGGATGTACATCAAAACTCCTTCTGAGGGGTGATTATGGATATTTCCTGAAACTGCACATTATTAATTTTATAAGACTTTTCACATACCAGTGACTGCTCAGGATTGGACTTGTTTGCAATTAAAGCTAGCAGAGAATTCTGGAATGTCTCCGCTCGCTTGCTTTCTAAATCCATTCTCTGCTGATTCTGTATTATCATTGCCTTTAAAAGGTCATCTGTTGTTGCTGTTTTCTGTTTGCTTGCCATTTCTCCCTGAGGCGATTGCCTAGCTGGTGGCTTTGGGGGTACGCCGATTTGATCAATGTAGTTTTCCCATTTTGGCTCCTCTCCTACCCCTGCTGATTTTCCTTCAACGATTTGATCAGTCCATAATTTCAAGTGCTTTACTCCATACCGATTTACGATGCCCTTTTTTTCTAGATCCCTTACAAGTGTGCAGTGAACGTCATTCCACAAGTCATTTTCTCCTGTCTTTATCTTCTTTGATGCCATCCCTTCAGCGGCACTTGCAGCTGCCACTAGCTCTAGGTCTCTGCCATCCCCAGTTCTAAATTCTAGGCACCTTTTAGGGTTTTTAACAGCAGAACTACTGGCTCCTGCAATGACCAACCAACTCAATCAACTTTCTGCATTAATCCAGTAGGAGGGATGGGCAGGCAAAACAATATAAAAGAAGTACATGGGCTCAGAACTAAAACAAGGCAAAAAAACCAAAGTGGCCACTTTTGGGGCGACTGCTTTTTCCGGGAGATGCAACGAAATTATCACATTGTATTATCCCAAAAGATAAACATCAGGCGTGCCCTTCAGCAAATCCGGCTGTCAAGCGAAACAGCTAGCTACGAAGAGTCACAGAATATAAATAGACTGAAGCGAAAAGATCCACTGACTAAGCCCGGACTAAGCATAATATAAACGAATTAAAAATGCAAAAGCTAGCTTACCTAAATTTTCAACTGATACTGCTGCGCATGCAACACGTACGGAGTTAACTCGTCCTTTAACCTTGTCCCTGTACTCATCTTTACAGAACGCCAAGTCTTTTTCTGTTTTCAGCTGAACCATCTGCTTACCTCCCTTTCTGAGCCAGAAGAGGCCACTAGCAGGCACAAACAAATTCTGCGACCCATCAAAAGCTCTCAGTTGCTCCTTCAGCACAGAAAGCGTACACTCTTCATTAACATCTTGTAGTAGAATAGACGACTTTGAAATCTTGGGCTCGTTCTGTTTGGTATTCATCACTTTGAATACGAAAACATCCATAAGAGCCGTCACGGGTACATACGTAGCCGTGCTTGTCGATCTTGTCAAGGCCAAGCGAGGGGAACGGCGAGGTGTAATTGTGACAGGTGACAAATTGGAATCTAAATCCATTGTAAAAGACAGAAAACGATACTGAGAAATTATGCAAAGAATCAACATAAACAAGCATCAATCTGCCGCACACATACCATCATGCCTTTTCGCTAGTGACCAGTCAACAGCCATGATGATCTTTGCTCTTGGACCCGTTTTCCTCCTGCGACAAGCGAACGTCAAGGGATATTCATCGAGCAATGCTGATATATCCATGTCCCCATTTACGGCAACTACCGTCCTGCTTTTTCCACTCTTCTTGTAATAAATTCTGTCTATTTTGATATCTTTCTTTCTTCTGTCAAATTGGTTCGCAAGAAAATCGTGCACACATGCTTTGAGGGTGGCAAAAGTCCATCTATGAGGGAGGACGAAGACACCGAGCTCCGTTCCTTGTACCACTCCATTTTTGGTACTTGTATACAACGCCACTTCTCTGAAAATAGGTAACGAAATTTGAATTCAATGGACTCCTATCCATTGGATAAGCTGGTGTAAATATTCATATGTATTCATGAATGCGTTCAAGATTGAAAACAAAACAAAAAAAACCGTTACGTTTGGGCTATCCCATATTTGTGTTTCTTCCAAATCTGGTAGTTCGACGGATCTATCTTCGAACATTTCACTGTACTGACTTGTGAATTCGAAGCTATCTGTCGAATCCCCCATCTTTCCGTCGCGCGTGGAGGTATTAACACTTCCATATATGGTATGACGTGTATGATTGACGGAAATTTTGGAAACGTTTCAGCGGGTGTTTCGATTTGGAAAGTCGCGTATCAAGGAAAACGGTGGTAAATCACTACTCCGTAATGTTCTAGGTAATAAAGATAATTATTTGAATGTTAATTATTTAATAGAATATTTTGTGAAGTTCACCTGATGTGTTGTATATACCTCCAGTTGTAATTTTAGTCTTTTTCAAATAACAAAATCCCTTGTTCTTGAATTTATATGTAAGGTGTTTCTTTCTGTATGTTTTTGTATTTCTTCTTTTCTTTTTTTATGTAAAAAACGCCTTTAGTTAAAGTCTTGTCCTGCCTAGATTAGCATTATAGCTAATTGCAGGACATGAAGTATTGTAAACTTTATATTTCTTTAAATAAATACATTGTTGTTGTTGTTGTTCTTGTTGTTGTTGTTAAAAACAAAGGGACACAATGTTCAGTTCATGTCCGACTCGGGTTGAACGGATTGACACACTCGTCGATAATGACAGCAGCAAACCCACCCCTTAGGCACTCGCTTCTGGATATGATGAAAAACTTCGCGGGGACCTTTTTTTTCGCGTGATCAGATAGAAATGGACGTTAGCGCGTTAAATGGGAAAGCTCACCCCCAAGAACATCGCGTACACGACCCATACGCAATGACGTGGAGACTTTGGCCATGTGTAGGCGTGTCTCTTGAGGATCAAGTTGATAATTTTTTCCAACGTACGTAGGGCGATATCCTGTCCCTGATGAATCGAGCAATAACATCGCGCTGTGTTCCCTTCCACTCGAAGGCACACCGCCATGATGTGTGAAAGAGATGGGTGGCGTTTAGTTGCAAAACGTAGATGTCTTTTGTCATCTATCTTTAATTCCCATACCGATGGACAGCGGTACGTTTTCCCCTTTTTATTTTTATTTAATGGTGTAGTTTCAACAGATTGTTGCACTGTGAACAGGGCACTCCTTAAAGAGAAAACATTTTGCACTTCAAGGAGAAAGTGGCTGTTGACGTTTTCTCCTCTTTCTACAGGTTTTTAAAAGACCCTGTAACATAGAAGGAAAGCTTGAATTGAATCTCCATCTTGAGCAAAGGCAAGTCGCCTCTGGCAGGACTGTCTTCTTCCCCTGCACCCGCCAAGAAGAAAACCCGCTTCAGTTATCACCTCCCCAAGGCCGTCAAAGAGGGAAAACAACTGGCCAAGGAAGTGTTCAAGTTGAAACGTCAACCCGGTTGGAGCGAGTGGGGAGAGAAGGTCCAGCGTAAACTTGATGGCAAGGACTACTAGACGCCGCCGCCGGTGCGTGTCGCGCCGTGGCCGTCGCCAGATGGGGATTGGACGTCCAAAAATGGTTGGCCAAGACAGGCATCGAATTTCATTGGCCGGGGTACCAATACATTGGGCCTGGCACCCATTTGGAGAAACGTCTGAAGCGCGGGGATCCCGGCATCAACCGGTTGGACCGCATTGCCAAACAACATGACAT